AAGTTGGCTTGGGTCAATCATCACCGAGCCAAAGCTAGGTGTTTTTCATCTAAATAATCTAAACTGCAGGCAGCAGGATAATAAAAGCGAACATATTCTGGTGGCAGATTTCTGCATTTTAAGTTAATTTATGCGTCAATAAACTGTTTCAGAGGAGTGATCACAGCGCTCTGTCATCAGCGATGTGTCTGTCTCACAGCCAGCTCCCAGGTTTGATTAATACTTTGTAATAAATACATGAATAAAGCATAAACATACTCAGTTTTGCTCCCGCTCTGTTTTAAATACGCAGTAGAGGTATCTTTACGTAGTAGAGGATATGTACCGGTATATAAAACCCACGCCCTACAGTCCGGTGCGCCTTATGTGTGTGTTAAATACAGTAATGGCACACATAACGGAAACTGCGCCTTTTAGTACGGTGCGCCTTATGGTCGTGAAAATACGGTAGGTCGAAAGCAACACCTGAATTTACCTAGACTCTATTGCTAGCTTTTAGTATAAATCATGATGGCTCGTGCCAGGTAAGCTACAAAAAATTAGAAATTTACATTTAAATTCCTTCTAAGAAGTCATTTTAAAACCACTTTCAGCAGAGCAATCCTTTACAAGAACTGGAAATAAAGAACCTGAGGGAAAATTATGATAGTTGTATCTTCAAAAAACAAGAAAGGAAAAGAAATCATGATATTGCTAGAATATTCTCAGGATTACCTGGGTTAAACAGGACAATAGCCCGGAGACAGCCCAGCTCCGTTTTATCCATTTGCATATCTCTCATTTTGTTAACAAGTTCGGTAAGAACCCTGCAGTTTGAAAGAAAATAGATAAGATAAATACATTACAAAATTCTGATTAAAAGGTATATACTCAAAAAAAATAACTAAAACTCAAAAAGTACCTGTCAAATATGGCACCAACTTCTGCACTCTGCACACTCTCCCTGAAATATAAGGATTGATTAGACTTAAAATATCTAACAGTTAAACTTTGACTGGATAAAGAAAAAAAAATAATCAACTTAATAAGAAAACACATTAGAGGTTTCTTTTAAACAAGAACTTCATATATCAATAGGTTTCAATGGGAAACAGTTAATGCAGGGATTACTTACACATTCTTAACAATGTTCAGCTTAAGGAAAACCTGACACCAACTCAGACGGACCAAATCATTGGTCTTCAACAATAGGATTAAAATATTACCCATATGCAATATTAAAGAACAAAAACAGAAAGTGCTGGAGAAACATTAAATCATGAGTAAAGACTCTGCCTACAAGTTATGGGATGACCTGTATTATAGTATTGCACTCCAATAGAAACTCCTAAGTTTCTATTGGCATGTAATACTCAATTTAGCTGATTGAGTTGTTGAAGAACAGACAAAAATAAAAGTTAAACTTTGGCAACCAGAGCCTAAGAAACTGGTCAAACTGGCCTTTTTTTTGACAATGAATAATTTATGGTTTTATCTGAATGCTGCTTTAATTACTCCAAAATTAAAACTCAGCAGTTAATTGGGAATAAAGCAAATGTTTTGAAGAGGAAAGTCAAAGCTAGATGACACAAATCAGAGCATAACACCTTCATTTTTAAAAACTTAAACTGTCATTTAGTGGATCATGTGAAAAATGTTGCATTAAAGACTTTTCAAACCTGTGAAGGAAACTTTTATTACAAAAAATAAACAATCCCAAAAAAGCATAATTCAGTCCAGACTAAATATGTTTAACCAAAAGGCAACTAATTACAGTAGCTGTAAATTATGCGCAGGCATGCTATGGGCTGTTAGCTGACGTGAATGTACCTATCAAAAATAGCACCGACTCCGGCCATGTGTGCGCTGTCACGCTGCAGCTCGGAAGCCAAGAGAGCTCCATCCCTCAGAGGAATGGAGCGATGAGAGAAGGAGGCAATCAGGAGCTCATTCCATCCTAACAAGTTAAACACAAACACCAGTTCAGACATTCTCTCTCATACTTATTTATACATCAATGAATTATTCAGAAGTAACAGCCACCTGGAGGTAAACTGTGGGGTTGGAGGAATTCCTTTCAAACCATCTCAGTGTTGCTTATTGGTTGTTTCCTTTTAGCATTTAGTCACATGTTACATTGCTTTATAAAAAGTTATGAATACATTTAAAGATACTGTATTAATTGTTAAGAACTACTTGTATTGTCCCCTACATCATGGGTCAAAGCTTTACCCACTGACCTTGACCAACTGTCACAGGGCTTCTTAGTTTCATTTCAAAGTGCTGGTGGTTGTTCATACCTGCACGCAGAAGGATGACCTGATCATCGATGGGTAGCTCTGAAAAATGAGGGATTCTCTTTGCCCACTCCACCAAAGCAAACAACTGTTTGTCCGCAGTCTGGCAGATGTTAGAAACGGCATCATGGGGCTACAAAACAAAGACATCATTATGCCCTGATTACTTACCAAGCACATGAAACTGATTTTAAAAACAAAATGGAAACGTCTGAAAGACATTGCCTGTGGTGTTTCAAAGACTCACAGAGTTTCCTGCAGATCCTCCATCGGAGTGGAGGTCCACCCTCATATCTACGGCCATCTCTGCCTCCAAGATCTTCTCCACAGGCATCTCGTCATTTACTCCAGAACTGAACTCCAGCTCTCCTTCTCGCTCTCTGTTCCTCTGACGCTCCTCCTGAACCGCTGCAGCAGCAAACACAAAGGGACACAACCAGATAGTACACAAGCAGATTTAAAAAAGCCGTTGCATTCATAAGCTTACATCTCGTTTGATTTTATAGTGGGTGTTTCCTGCTTTAGCAGAATGTTTTATAAGTCTTAGCAATTTAAGTCTGTTTTGAAAAACTTTATTTTTAAAATTACATTGTGAGGAAACTTAAGGTGACAAGCAGCAGGTGGAACAGCTAACTATGGAGCAATCCATCTTTTCCTAGTGATCAGGTCTCTGATTTAATTCATTTAGATTAATTTGACATGCCAATCTCTGTGGGCTTGACTAGAAGCAGTACATAAAATTCTAAAAATGGATATGAAACAGCCGTTTTAGCCGGTATTGCTGACAAAGTCCGAAGTTTTTCTCCTTCAGGAACACTCGGGAGGACATGGGGGGATGGCATACATAGTGCTGCTTGGTTTTGTATCCATCATACTTAAAAAAGTGCACAGAATATTTGGGCCAGAGCTGCCAACATCAAGAGCCCTGCTGATGCAACGGGCCGGTGCTATTAAGTAAATTATGCATGGATCTGATCTGTATATATATATTTTTTTTATTTAGTTTTCCTCATTTCAGGAATTTCATTTATGGAGCTCTGTGTGCCACTGTTCTTTTTTCTATTTTTACAAATGATCTCCCACATGTTTTTAAGAGCACCACTATATCAATGTATACAGATAATTCTATTCTATACAATTAAACTGATAATCTGAGCACTCAAAATAAAACATTAGAAAACAACCTGGACCTCAGGTCTAGCCAGGTGGACAATAAGAGACTTTTTTGAATAAAAGTAAATCTAAATGTTTCTTTCTCAGCTCCAATAGAGCTTTTAAGAATGCAGTCATTGGTACTCAATTGGAAAAATATACCCTTAAACCTATAGGCTTAACTACGACTGAACATTTAAAATGGTCTGGTCATGCCAACAGGGCAGTTGCCAAAAAGGGTCAGGTTGTTTCTGTTATTAGCAAGGCTTCTTTTTTGTGAAAAGCTCTTCAATTGAACAATTTATACAGTCACGTATTATCATAATTTGATTACTGATCGGTCATATGGTCCAGAGCAAATAAAGACATTCATAAGCTACAAGTGTTGAGGAACAAAGCTGCATGACTGGTCCTTCATTGTCCACGAAGAACCAGTATTGAGAGAATGCTTCAAACATTCTCCATGATGTATGGGGAGAAGCAGCAATTAAAAAACTAACTTTTTTTGTAATACAAGTAAAACAATTAGCATCTGTCTTTGTGTTCTAAAAACAATAAACCACTCCACAAGACAAACAACTGATTAAACTGATGCAATTACCCCATTTGCAACAACCTGCACAAAAAAAATATCTGAGATGTTATAAAATATTAAAAGAAAATATCTAGCAACAATTTGTCTGCAATCCTTGGCATGCACTTTAAAGGTTTTGACTAGATGTTTACTACAGCTTTTGTTGCTCATTTACATTTTTTAGTAGTTTAATGTTTATGGGTTTTGTATATGTTGTATTTTGTATATTTTAAAATGCTGTGATGGAAACCCGGAAGAGTAGTTATCTATTAATGAATTCATCTAAATTGGTCTGATCTTATCTTCTATCAAAAGAATCTTAAAAAAACAACAACAAATCATTACATTTTCACAATTTATGCTGTCATTTTTTCAGACACTGACTGAATAAACACAAGAAAATTCTGACATTGTTAAACCGTTTATAGGATATAACAGAACAGAAAATTATTAAGTTATGAAGAAAAAAAACATATGTAGAGAGTTTACCACATAAATGGGATTCCTGCAATTAAACAGTGTAAATAATCACAGACCAGACTGGACACATTTATGTTTCTGCCCTAATATGATCTAGCATTACTTCTTTTGCAAATACAAGTGAGGCACTTCTTAAGAATACACAGTGGAACCCTCTAGTGAATGGTGGTAAAATTACATTAGTAAAATAAATTCCTTCAAAGGGAAGTTATCAATTAATCGGGACAAATTTGAATCTAATACATGATTAAATGACTATGACAAGTCAATTATTTGTTTACATCTCTACTTTCATCCATTAATGGGGATACTTTTCCAATTCTTTCATTTTCTCTTTGATTCTAAGCCATCTTATGACCCTGTCACACCTTGCCGATTTAGGCAGCATATACCTGATGTCCCAGAATCTCCTAAAACGCTGGCATACGCTGAACTTTCAATGTATTTTTTTCAATTCCGGGCGTATACATAGCGTATTCATAATAAGTCCAGCAATGATACTGCCCGCTCACCAAAAAAAATTTATAAAGAAAAAGAGAGGTTTGTAGTCGCAGCAGATTCAGTGTCATGACTGCTAGGTTTACGTTTTTGCCAGATTTTCCGTAAGTCAGGCATACGCTGGTCTAAATCGTCAAGGTGTGACAGGGCCTGTGTTACAGTCTACTATGTGAGTCTTGGGGGAAAAAGGGCAATATATTCCTGCCAGTAACAGCCTTCAGGGTGCCGTATTAAGGTGTTTAAACTGAAACCTAAGATGATACGAAAGCTGCAGTAAGTAAGACTAATCAGTTTGAGGCCATTTATATCTCATTAACTTTGCTTTAACTTTGCTCATGATTTTTTAAGTTTAATGAAAGGTGAAAGGTGCACTTCTTTAATCAAAGACTACCACTGGAGGGAGCCAAGTTACAATGCATATCTACATCCACATTCACATTGTCACATGTACAGCTGCAGGCTACACAATGACAATACATCATGACTTTAGCAATGAGCTTGTATTTTGGAACAAAAATGTCCCCCAGCAAAACTAAGTCTGGTGCTCTGCCCTTCAGCATTACACCATGTACTAGTAGCAGTACCAAGAATGAGACTGTCATTAAACATGAAAGAACACAGTGTCTATTCCTGCAGTCATGCAGTGTGCTACTTATTGCAGAAACCTAATTAGGTCAACAAAAATATGCAAGTACTATTGTTAACAAAGAATGATTTGAATATTCTCCTTGTCGGTAGGATGAGTGCGCAATTATGGATACCCAAAATAAGAGGCCTGGGAGCTGGAGGGCTCTGCGCAGCATCTTTGCCATTCCTAGAACTGCACCCTTTATGCCTGATGTATTTCCAGGGATCCGCTGTAACCAGTCTTAAAGTGCGGGGGTCACTGCCCCAAGTACCATGGGTACCACCGTCACCTTGACCTTCATGGTTTTCCCCAGCTCTTCTCTGAGCCTCTGGTATTTCTCTAGTTTCTCATGTTCCTGATGCTGCAGTCACTTCGTATTGCTGTCAACCACAACAGCTTCCCTCTACTTTTTGTCCATCACCACAATGTGTGTGTGTGTGTATATATATATATATATATATATATAAATGTGTGTGTGTGTGTCCACTGTGAGAGACATGACCTAAAAAAGGAAAATCCAGAAATCACAATGTATAATTATTTTAACTACTTATTTGTATGATACAGCTGCAAATAAGTATTTGAATACCTGAGAAAATCAATGTTAACATTTGGTACAGTAACCTTTGCAGCTACAGAGGTCAAATGTTTCCTTTAGTTTTTCACCTGGTTTGCACACACCGCAGGAGGGATTTTGTCCCACTCAGACACAGATCTTCTCTATACCAGTCAGATTTCTGGGCTGTGGCTGAGAAACAGAGTTTGAGCTCGCTCGAAAGATTCTTTATTGGGTTTAGGTTTGGAGACTGGCTAGGCCACGCCAGAACCTTAATATGCTTCTAACAGAACCATTTCTTGGTTATCCTAACTGTGTGCTTCGGGTCATCGTCATGTTGGAAGACCCAGCCTTCACCCATCTTTGATGCTCTAACTGAGGGAAGGAGGTTGTTCCCCAAAATCTCCCAATACATGCCGCAGTCATCCTCTCCACAGAGAGCTCTCCTCGTAAAGCATTATGGGATTTGCTGCCACAGCGGCCAACTTTCACCATAAGCTGTCACTACTCGACAGCGGCAACTAATAAAGATGTAATTAAGGCACAGTGAAGGAGTAGTTACATGACCAGCAGTTGAGTTCACTATAAATTCCACTATAGTCCCCACGCAATATAGTGATTGAGGGATTTAGGGATTAGG